CATTAAACTTCCCATAACCAGCATGCAAAGCTGACCTCACCCTCCCTCCCTGCACCACCCTGAGGCCCGGTCCCCCTACCTGTCTTGGTTGCACTGTAGATGTTCTCAATAGGAAACACGGAGCCCAGACCATACAGCAGGACTTTGGCCAGGGCAGGAATCAGTTGAGTGGTGGTGACCAGCACGTTGACACAATTGGGCCTAAGGACAAAGGAGACTGTGGGTCAGAATCCCAATGTCCCACAGGCCTCCTCCCCCTGCAGCCTGAGCCTAGAGTTGGTGGGAATTCTGGTGGGGTTTGGAGCCTCTGGCTAAGTCATCTTCAGGTGAGGGCCCAAGGACTCTTCAGCTATTCCTCTTAGCTTCCTGACACATTGAAATCGAACACAAGTATGATACTTTTTCTGTTTCAAAAGCAAGTGCTTATTGCAAGGGCCACAGACTTAAACAGCTACAGGGACCTATTGGAAATGTACATGAGTGATAAAGAGCAAGTGTAGGACAACAGGGAGCAGTGAGGACTGGGGTAAACTGGATAGCACACAGCAGTTCTGACATTTTCAGAGATCCTAGAAACTGCAGCTATGGATTTAGTTTCCCAGGTTTAGGACAAAGTGTATATGAAATAAAACACATCAGCACATGGATTCAGCTCATGGGCTGCCATTTCATAGCCATTCATAGATTGGGTCACGAGAATTCTGATGTTGGTGCAGAGGGTAATTTGTTCTCTAGCCCCAGGGATCCTATTTAAGAGCAAGAGGCAATTTACTGGGAGGCCTAGGAAGAAACTGGACCCTCCTGACCTCACTAAGAGCCCCCGGATGATCTGTGACATCCCATAAAATGGTTTTCAGAGGGTGATGTTGTGGGCAAGAGCAGATGGGACAAGATGGACCTTGTACAAAGGTCTTCAACTTGGCTGGACCCTGTTAAGTCTCTGCAGCATCTGCTCTGCTATGGGCCGTGGTGCCTTGTACACCTCTGCTTTATCAAATCTGGAAAATGTGCGAGTGAGAATCTGGAGAGTCCAGTTCTCCAAGTGTGAAAATGGAGGGGCCGCCACCTCTGAGTGGGAGCAGGTGCAGTGGCACAAAGGGAAATGCGGGCTCCCACCTACCGGGAATTGATGAGGTTTAGTGCCTTCAGGGAGTGGGTCAGCCAGAGATCAGTCAGAGCTTCCAGCTCAGCTCTGAGCTGCAGCCAGGTCTCTCTTTTGGGAGCTCCTATCAAGCCTGTGGACAAAGGAAATAAAGGTGTGGCCGTTACCATTTTAGAGGTCTGGGGGGAGCAGGAGTAGAAGGGGAGTCTAGCTGCTGTAACTTGAGGTTTCAAATCAGATGACACCCAAGGTCAACTTAATCCAGTGACCTTAATCTTATTTTGGGACTGACAGATCAGTCCATCCATTGACTGACCCATGCGATCACCCACCCAACTCATCTGCCCATCCACCCACCCATCCATCCATCCATCCAACAAAGAATTTGGGAGTGTCTTCTATGTGTTCAGTATTGTAATAGGCACAGAACATACACAGATGAATAAAACATGCAGATTGCAGAGCTTATACTGTTACAGTGGAGACAAAAAATAATGACTAACATTTACTGAGTGCTTATGTGCAGGGCCCTGTGCTTTTAACACAACTTATTTCATTCATTCTCACAGCAGCCCTAAAGGTGACCACTCTTTTTATTTCTTCTTTTTAAAAAATTGAGATATAATTGACCTGTAACATTGTGTAAGTCAGGTGAAGAAACTGGGGCTTTGTGAGGTGGACTGACTTGTTCATCGTAGGGAGGAAATAAGGGAGACAGGTTTGGCACCCAGGCAGCTGACCTCCAGAGCCCACTCCTTGGTCTTTCTGAATCTGTCATTCTCTCAGTTATCAGGGTCCTTAAGAGAAAGTTCAGACTCCACAGCCCTGGACTCTGCCCCTACTTAGTTGCCAATCTCATCTCTTGCTATGGCCTTGATGCCCTTCCATCCCATCCCTCCTCTCTGTTCCTTGAAACATCAAGTGTACTTCTGCCTCAGGACCTTTGCACACCTCATTTCAGAACCCGCACCCCTCTTCTTATCTTACCTTCCCTTCTTGCCTGGCTAAGTCCTTCAAACTCAAATGTCATTTATTCTGGAAGGCCTGTCCTCGTCAAGTCTACTTTATTCTCTCAACATACTGTACCTCTTCTTCATAGCACTTGTCACAACTATAATTTAAGACACACCTGCGAGATTCTGTGTTTGATGTTTGCTCTGTGAGGCAGGGACCAAGTTGGCCTTGTTTACCACCACAGTACCAGCCCCTGTAGCAGGTGTCTCTTCAACAAACACATGCAGTATTTGTTCAAGGGAGAACACATTCATTGGGACAAAATGCTGCAGGTGGCCTCTGGTTTTCCTTTCTCTCTGCACCTTCTCCCAGCTCCTGAGCTAGGGCCCTTAACAATACAAAATCTCAGGGGTACTGCACTTTACAGTTTACAGTAGACTTTCCTACGCCTGCTGCCATGAGTATCTAGCTGGTCAACCACTCTGACTTTGTATCTGTTACAAACCTGAAGTTTGCATCAAGTTATAGTTTGTTTGCTCCTGACCCATGGCTTTTCCCTCCAGACTTGGTCTCCCTCCTCGGATAACAAGAGTAGCATTTAAGAAGCACTGACAGTGTGGCGACACTGTTCTCAGCACCTTCCACTGCTAATTCACGTCATGCTGACATTTATCTTGTGGGCTGGGCAGGATCATTAGCCTCATTTTACACACGAAGAAACAGGCACAGAGAGGTCAAATAACCTGCTCAGGGCTACATAGGACGCGGCGGGGGTGTGTGTGTGTGTGTGTGTGAAATCAGGCAAAGTTCTCTGAACCCAACCACTCCTCCCAGATGCTGACTTAAGAAGGATTTTTCTCTTTTCATTCTGTATCTCACAGACGTTTCTTTTCTGAGTACACTGTCTGGAACACTTGGAATCCTATTGGCTGTGGTGAGCCCCCCAGGCTGATGGCCGCAGCCCTTACCAGCCTGGTTCTGCAATGCAGAAACAGCCAGGGGAGGGGCAGAGGGAGGGGGGCTGCCCACTGGCGTCCTGCCAGCCACAAGCCCCTCGCCTGCTGACACATCAGGTAATTTCCCCTCAGCTTATGGAAGAGCCACACAGCCTGACAGAAGCCCTGGGCATTTCCTGGGGCTTAACCTGGATGGGGAGCAGATGGCCCATCCCTGTCTCCCCTACCCCAAGCACAGCTGATCCCCTCCTCTCTGTGTGCAGGGGTGGGTGAGCAGGCAGGGCAACCCAGAAGCTCTCTGCTTCACTCGTGCAGTCGACAGACTTGGATATGAGAGGCCACAGAATGTGGGCAGAGGTGCGGGAGTAGCCAGCCTGGGCTGTGTGATGCTGGGTAGGTTACTTAACCTCTCTGGTCTCGGTTTCCACCTTCATACAACATGGATGAGAAAAGCAGTTACCTTATAGGGATGTTGTGAAGAGCGAAAAAGCTATTAGATAAAAAGTCTTCATAACAGAGCCTGGCATGGAAAACAGTCAGAAAACATTAGCTGTTGCCAAGCCTGCAGCCATGGACAAGACAGAAAATTCTTCCCGAAGAACTGATGGTCTGTCCGGGGAAGACACAGGAGAACCTAAAAGACTCCCAAGCAAAACTGTGAGGAACTAGTGATAAATGTTGTTTACCAGGTGCCTGCTGTACACCAGGCACAGGGTCCTGCCTTTTGTGTGCATTAACAACAGACCGCTCCATAACCCAGGGAAGCGGAATTATTTTTACCCCCACTTCACAAACTTAGAAACAGGCTCAGGGAGATAGAAAGGGGCAGCGCTGGGACCAGAAGTGGGTTCTGTCCAGGTGGAGACCCTGAATTCTTCCTGGGACTCTACTCTTTCTGGGGATGGGGCCAAGGTGTATTTGGAAGATACTCTTAGCTGCCTACTCAAACCTCCTCCCTTTATGGGCCAGTAGCTGGTTAGAGACATTGTGATCATCAAAAACATCCCCAAATGCCTCCTGGGGGAGAAGCAGCAGCATTTCTGGTTAAGAACCACTCAACTAGAGAATTCCAGGAACAGTGATGGATGGCCTGGTCACTGCCGAGCCAATCCTGCCTCCAGCCTCTTCCAGATTTTTTTTGTTCAGTGTGATAACCAACACTCTCCTGCTGCTGAAGTCGGTGGCTTTCGCCTTGGCTGCACAGTAGAGTCCTCCAGGGAACTTGAGTCCTGATGCCTGGGTAGCAGCCAGGCCAAGGAAATCAAAACTGGACGTTCCTTGCGGGTTTCACTATGAGTGAGAATCAGTGACTCCCAGTGCACCTGCAACTTGAGTGTTTCCACAAGTCACCTGGGAATCTTGTTAAAAATGCAGATCTGACTCAGTCGCTGGGGGGCGGGGCCTGAGATCCTGCATTTCTAACAAGCTCCCAGGTGATGCTCATGCGGCTAGTCCGTGGATCACAGTCTAAGTAGTGAGGGCTGAAGCCAGTGGTCCTCAAACTCCAGTGAGCATGAGCATCACCTGGAGGGCAGGTTAAGACACAGAGGGCTGGCCTGCCCCAGCTTCAGATCCAACAGGCCTAAGGTGGGGCCAGAGAATCTGCATTTCCAAGTCTTCAGACGATGTGGATGCTGCTGGTCTGAGGACCGTACGTGGAGAAACACTGGTCGTGACTAAGGCACGGCAATTGAGGGGAGATAGAATCATGGCAAGATGCTTCATTCATTCCTCCGCTTCTGCCCACCAACGTGAGGATGATGAAACCCTAGTGCCCTCTTCTCGGGGCGTCATGAGGATTACACTGAGCAAGCTAGGATTTATAAGCCTCCCAGAACAGTGCCTGGCACAGAGTAGGTGAGATATAAGTGACAGCATCCGACCTTGAATTTCCCTTGGCCTGGAGCTGTGGCCGAGCACAGGCAGACCCTCTGACCACCGTGGACGGCCCTCTTCTGGCCCACTCACCGCCAACGTTGTTCTTGTAGGTGTTGTACATCTCCTTCACCCGCCGGTAGCGGAAGGCCAGCTTCCTCATCCAGTCCACGCCACCATGGACGCCGGAGCCCAGGCACAGGTTGGCTCCCGGGGCCGAACTGTGGAAGCCATCAGCGGAGAAGTTGTACGTGCTGGGGAGAGGGAGGAGACTGTTAATGTGGGGAGGTGGGGGCTCTTCACCAGCAGACCGCAGACCCCATGGGACCCATGGTTGGAGCTTAGGGTGCCCCTGTGTCCCTGAACGGGTGGAGGTGCTGTGTGTTTGTGTGCTCTGGGAAAAGCAGCGCCATACTTTTATTAGCTTCCCAAACAGCAGGGGCATCCTTTGCTCTTGCTGAGTTAGCATTCACTCTCCTTTCTTTTGGTATCAAAAAGCATCTCTGCTTTTTGGGGGTGGGGAGCCATTCCGCCCCCTGCAGGCAGCGGGCCAGCTAGGGAAAGCCTCCCTCTCTCCCCCTTTGGCATTTGAAGCTGGAAGCCAACTCCAAAAAATGACCGGCATTGGTTCATCCTGACGGAAGGTTCCAGAAGGAAATGCCAGTTAGTGCCCACTACTTTGATTTCCAAATCTGCCCTGCTTCACCTCCCCTGTAAGGCTGGGCTGCTGACCCTTTCTTCCTATTCTGTGAGCATCTCCGTATCTTTTTTATAGAAATTCCCTATGTTAATTTTTTGGTTAAATTCGGCAGAGTCAATTGCTGGTACTTTGCAGATACAACCCCCCACCCTGAATACAGCTGCTGGACTAACAAGTTGGACATGTGGATGGGGGATGAGTCAGAGCGCCACACGGAGTTAACAGCAGAAGCGACAGCTGGGAACCAGAAGGGGAAAGTGCGTGGGCGGTTCGCCACCTACAGCGGCTCGACTGTGAGAAGGAAAACCCCAGCTCTCCACAGACGCCTCTTCCCCTCCACCAGAAGCTTGGTACAGGCTTGCAGAACCACAGGAGTAAAGCTTATGCTACAGTGTCACCAGGCAAAACCAGAGCCTGACAAGGGATGTGTGTACCAAAAACTTAAAAAATCACAGTCTCTTCAGAGAGAAAAAGATGGGGGAAGCAGGTCAGTGTGGTCCCACGGCCTCTCAGGGGGTGGGTTTGACTGATCCATTTGGAAGTCAAGGTTGGTGCCTCCTCATCGGGTTCCTGCTGCCAGGAATTTGAGCACACCCTCCTCCTTCATTCACAGGACATCAGAGACTCTGGATGTTGCGGAAGTTTCCCTTTAAGTAATGATGGGAATGTAGAACAACACCTTATGGACCACTCCCTGGGCAGTGCAGAAAGGTTAGATAATTTATTCTTACAAAAGAACACTGACTACAAACTCAGAGGGTCCCCTGGGGAGATGCCTGGATGTTCTGCCAAGAGGTGGAGGCCAGGGAAGGGTGTCCGTGAATCCTGCCTCCCCCACTTACCAGCTGTGTGAGGTTGGGCAGGTTACTTAACCTCTCTGTGCCTCTCATTCCCCAAGTGTAAAATGAGGATGATTATAAGAGCAACTATTTCCTAGGGTTACTGTGAAGATGCAATGAGTTAATTCAAGTAAAGCATTTGCAGCAGGGCATGGTGCAAAATAAGGGCATTGCCAGGGTTGGTTTTTTAGTGTTAACTGAAAAAAAAAAAACATGAGGGGCATTTGATTCTTGGTGCCTTACACACAGTAGGTCCTCAATAGACGGTTCTTTTTTTAATTGAGGTATAGTCGATTTATAATGTGTTAATTTCTGGTGTAGAGCATAGTGATTCAGCACAGTGATACATACATATTCCTTTTTATATTCTTTTTCATTAGAGGTTATACAAGGTATTGAATCTAGTTCTCTGTGCTCTACAGCAGGACCTTGTTGTTTATCTATTTTATGTATAGTAGTTAGTATCTGCCGTGATACATATTTCTTGAATGAAAAAACAGGGAATTTGGCTTCTAGGGGAGGAAAAACACCCCTGGATTGCAGATTCTTGAAGTGAGGTACCAAACCAGCTCAGTACGAGTCAGGGTTCAGGGAACATTGCTCTAAATTCCCAGCCAGCCAGCTCCAGGGGAAACTATAAAAACGGAGCCCTGGTTGCTCATTGCCTTGAAAGGGAGAGTGGTTCCCAGGGATGACTTCATGGAAAGGACACAATTAACCCTGATCTGGGCTTTATTTACTCCATAAATTGAGAAGTCCTGGCTAGCACTGGAGCCGTGCACCTTGCCAGACCTGACTGCAGAAGGGATTTTCTCAATGGCTAATTAAAACTTAGCAGGCGATCGATGCCCACCCATCACTTCTAATCGTGCTGGGCTTTGAAAAGACTTGCAGGGCTCAGTAACATAAACTCTGATTTCTTTTTTTTGGAGAAAGTTGGAAGATACACCCAGGAAGCAAACACTAAGTGAAGTTACCATGACTGGCCCACAAGCAAAATTTATTTGGTCTCATAATATTTTTGATGGGCTTAGAGGCGTTGAATTGTGATAATTTTGGATAAGCACAGATTAACTAGGGTCCCGTTTTTATAAAGTCTCCCTAAGGGCAGGCTTGGAACATTCCAGCCACATTCTTGTGAGAGATGTCTCATTTTGAGCAATTGGGCACCTTATTTCTGGAATTCATATTGTAGTATTGTTTTCTCCTAGAAACCAGACAGAGCATTTATTCATTCAAAAAAGGTAATTTTTTGAATATCGACTGTATCAACTTTTATATTAAATAATATATGTATGTTAATAAATGCAGTCAAACCTTGGAGGAAGGTCTATCAGACTCTCGGTGGTGGTGATTCTGGGAGGCAAAATCAGAAGAGGTGTACGACATGTTTTACAATACGCATGCAGGACTTTAGTAAGCAGGAAAAGAAAAACCACAGAGAGAAACAGCAGGGTCGCAGAGTTTGCGGGCAGTTCAGTCTGTGATTTGAGGTGATGCAGAAGAGGGGGCGGGGGCGGGGTTGTGATTTTTCAGCTCAGAGAAACACATGTCCCAGTTCTGGCTGGAGGCAAACACATCTTCCCCCATTGCCAGCCCGCCCCTCCTCTCTGCTTCCTTGTGAAAGGTGGGCTTGATAACCAATCAAGGGGGGGCATTTTTGACTCCCCAGATTCCTACCTTAAATCTTGCCCATTGTCATCGGATGAGACATCGTCCACGTGGATCTGGTCACAGTCCTACAAAATTTGGCAAGAGGAAAAGGGAGAAACGTGACCGGCTAAGATGATGCAGCCTTTGAGAGTTGGTTTCATAAGCTGAGGGGTGGAAAGAGCACTGGACTGGGAGTCAGGAGCCCTGAATTCTGGTCTGAACTTTGCCACTAAAGGTTAGGTGACCTTGGGCTAAGTCTCACCCCCTTTTGCCTTCAGTTTCCATGTAAATGAGCAGGTTGCCTAGAAGGGATGGTGGTGACTCTATAATTTATCACACAAACCAAGCTAGTTTTGCTGTGCGAAGGGGGCTGCTGTCCACGTTACAGTGGGAGGACACGCACAGGACAGGACCAGGCTTCCTCTTTCCCCAGGTGCACTAGCGCATGTGGTCGCCATGGCCATACGGTAGAAGCCTTTGCCTTGTTCAAGGTGCTTCCTCTGCCTGGAAAGCTCTCCCACCTTCATCTGCTTAGTGAACCTTGTAATCTTCAAGCATTAGCTTCTGGAGGTACCCCCTGCCAAGTCCCACTCTGTGTCCCATGATCTGTGACCATCATTTATCAAACACTTCCTATAACGTGCCAAGCACCATTCCAAGGGGTTACCATTCAGTGGACTCCAATAACATGCTGCTTTATGCCACCCATACACCTCAGTTCTCTTTGGGGAAAACCCTTAACACAGGGGAGTTAAAACTGAGGGGAGGGGAGCGGATGACACAGGTGGGCACATGACCCAGGTTCAACCAGTCAGAGAAACCCAGAGTCCCTCTGGCCACAGTGATCGCTTCAGAGATGAGTGTGTGGTCTCAGCTGGACCAACGAGGACCAGCCGTTGGCCTTTTGGGAAAGAGGAGCTCTCCTTTCACCACGGCGGCTGGACAGTGGGATTAAACCTGGAGCTGTGAGAGGAAAACAGTTTGAGAGCTGGAGAGAGGGATGGGACCCGGATCACATTACTTGGTCTTCTGGCTCCAGCCACAACTGCGATAGGGCCACCCTGAGTGTGGTAGGCTGACTGATGGCCCCTCCAAGATGTCCACGTCCTAATCCCAGGAACCCTGTCTGGCAAAGGGGACTCTGCAAATGTGATTAAGTTAAAGATCCTGAGATGGGGCCTAAATGTAACTACAAGGGTCCTGGTAAATAAGCAGCAGAGGGGTATGTGACCAGAGAGAAGGGAACTGGAGTGATGTGCTTGGAAGAGGCCACAAGCCAAGAAATACAGATGGCCGCTCGAAGCCGAAAAAGGCAAGGACACCACCAATGTCTCCCCTCAAGGCCTCCAGAAGAAACCAGCTCTGCTGACTTCTTCAGCCCAGTGAAACTGAATTTGGACTTCTGACCTCCAGAACTGTTTGTTTGTTTGAAGCCACCAAGTGTGTGGTAATTTGTGACAGCAGCTGTGGGAAATGAACACACTGACTTTTCAGTTCAAGTTAGCAGGGGTGGGTCTGTGTCACTGAGCAACCAGGGGTCCAGAGGGATGCGACGGCCCCCACGGAAGCTACACGCAGTTCACACCAGTCCTCTGAACTCCGCCTCCACCGTGAAGTCCATTCGCTCGGATGATTGGTCCATTAAGGCAAAGCTGTGAGTGTGCTGGGCCTGCCCCTGTGGTATGGGTGACAGCTCAGGCTCTAGAACTGATCGCCTGGTTTCGGATCCTAGATCCAACCACTTCCCAGCTGTGTGACCTTGGGCAAGTGACATGACCACCCTGAACCTCAGAGGTCGGATTGGCCAATGGAGGTATAATAATGAAACCTGATTTACAAGGTTCATGTGAGGAGAAGTGCCTGGAACACAGCAGGGGCTACAGAAATGAGAGTTTTCACTGTTGTGTTAAGATTTGTAAACGTCCACATTTTGGTTGCAAGACAGATTTAGGAAGCAGATACCACCTTGCAAAGACTGCTGGGAGAGGAGGCGCACTTGGAACTCTGAGCTTGCCTTCTGAGAAAAAGCTGGTTGTCACATCTCCCTTGATGGTAGGATAGAAGCTGGGGGAAGACATGGTGCTGGCAACATTTTGAGCAGATCTCTTTTGGACACAAGGAGAAGGCTTGAATTTATCTTCGAGAACAGGAGCTTTGCTGAGGGGATAATGGGACACTTTCCCTTGTTAACTTTTTAAGGATATAGAGAAGTAACATAATTGTTACGGAGATGTGGGGTGGGGGTGGGGACAGTGGCACTGGAAGTGAGGGGCGGCCAGGGCTGCTTTGTGGAGCTCGAGGTCAGGACCTGGAAGGGGTAGTGTGGCCGCTGATCCCTCTCAGGCCCCTTGAATGGGCTGTGGATTGGAAAGGGGTTTGCTGAACCCTTTGGACTGGAAAGAGGTTTGTTTCCAGAGTCCCTGGCACACTTTGCCCACAGCTCTGTGACAGGGACAAAGCAGGATGGGACCCTGCATGTCTGTGGGTCAGGGCCTGGGCAGTGGTGTGCTTGGAGAGGCCTGGGTGGCAATGACAGCAGGGAGGTCCACCAAGCGGCTTCCTAGTGGTCAGCCACAGGCAAATGGAGTCGGAGCAGACAGCAAAGAACATGGCGGATGCTCCATGGTTAACCCCAACTGAGAAACTCTTTGGATGGGGCAGGGGGCCGGGGGCACTGAGTGATCACTGTTGAGCCAGCAGACATCTGGCTTCTATCTAAACCTTTTCTGTTCATTATTCTGTGTTGCCTTTCTTTCTGTATATCCAGGACTCTAATCTCTTGGGGTATAAGTTATCCCCCTCCCCCAGAGCGGGTGTCCTTTCCTAAAGACTTGAGCATGATGGCACACCCCCAATTTAAAGACTCTACAGTCATGCTAATACAGTAGCGATTAGTCACATGTGGTTATTTAGAGTTATATTCAATTAAAATGAAGTAGAATAAAAAATTCAGTTCCTTAGGCCTATTTCAAGTGCTCAATAGTCAAATGTAGCCAAGGGCTACCATATTGGATGGTATGTTTCCATCAACGTAGAAAATTCTGTTGGACAGCACTGCTCTGGAGGGATAAAAAAAAACTCGACTGACAATTTCTCCTCTACGTTGAAAGGTTCAATTAGGGAAGAGTTTGCAAGCTGGCCTGGAGACACAGCTTATTTAGCTCACACTGGGCTGAAAACAATTTTTAGAACAATAGTCGTCTCTCTCTCTACCCCCCACCTCCTCCCCTCCCTCTCCCTCACTCCCTTTGTCTCTCCAGATTTTCAGCTACTTGGGAATTTCCATGCTCTGGCAAGGTAGGGCTTGTGTTCTTCTATTCCTACAGTCCTTAGTCTCAACATCCATCTCCACTCCTCCACAGTCCCTACTGGGTTTTCTTCACTTTCCCTTATCTGGTTACTTGGCCCCTGTGGGCATGCTAGTTTGAGACCTCTGATCCAGAGCAATCTTACACAGATGGAAGGATGCTAGGACCAGCCATCCTAATACGTTAATGAAAACTGTATTTAAAAGCCAAAGCTGACTTCAGAGACCCAGGCATTGAGAAAAAATTAATAGCAGATTTCCCCCAAGTCCCTTGCTTTGCCTGAAATTGGAAAAACACCTCCCAGTGGCCCCTAGTCCTTCCC